CAATTATCTCAAATCTCGTGCAGAGAAATGTCATCAGACCATAATACTAAGTGATGATACAAGTATTCATTAAAAAAAAAAAAAGAATTTTGAAATCGAATGACAACCATTCATGTAAGGTGGTTGTGCACATCAAATGAAGGGATGTCCTTTACATAGCAATTTTTCATGTGTGTCACACAGCAATTCTGTGAGAAATGCCAGTACATAATCAGCAATGTAATCAATTGAATGGAAGAAATTTATCCAAATTTGCATGATTTAATTCCCTAGTCATAGCTACTAATTAAACGTGAAAATAGAACATCCATAGTAAAAAACCATGACCCCTATTTTGGATGACCAAGAATTTTATTGGATGATCTTTGTATGGATGATTCGTACTGAGTAGCAATTATACCATAGTAAAATATCCAAACCCAATATCTTAAATTTTTAGGCAATTAGCTCAAATCAATTTAAGTAGGACCTTGTATTAAACATTAAGGAATGGAAAATTTGGCCAAGTTATACAATGTGTCAATCAAAATACTTTGATGTTAAACTCACCAAATCTACGAAGTCGAATGTAAACCTCTCACTTATAAGTAGAGACAAATTTTTCATATACAACGATATTGCGGGTTGAATTTTGGATAAGTCATACAATGAGTCAACCATAGTTTGGTATCGAATTAAATGGAGTCGAAACCTATGACCTACCATGCACTTATAAGTGAAGATGAATACTACTAGACTGTAGTATTAAGCTTGTCATTTTGAAGGATTGAGCATAAGAGCAAGTCCACTGTGGGCAATAGCCTTGTGGATTGGCAACAATTGCAAGCCAACTGCGCCTAAAGTCACACCAGCCCAGTTGGGCAATTGGGCTGAGGAGGAACCCGTGGTAGAGGTTAGGTAGAAGTCCAAGGCCTGAGCACCTGAGGGGGAAGTGATGCAAAGCTGACGTTAGCCACATTCTAAAAGAATTTGCGTCAGGCGCATGGACAACATGCGCGCGTGGGAGAGCGTCTCCGACAGCATTTCAAACGTTGGGGCTCGCGTGGCATCCCACTCAATTACCGTTTGACGTGGCACAATCTGGACATTTGATTTCTAGATCAACAGCCCACATTCTTCGGCTTTAAAAAAAAAAATGTTACCATTGGGCCATGTGTCAAAATCTCGACTATTGGATTTCAATTTTTGTAATCCAACACTCCAGATTAACTAAGTTAATAAAAATTTTAAAAATATTAAAAATTAATTACAATTTTAAAACAAAAAAAATTATGATTTTTTTTCTTTCTATAAACATGTAATTTGTATTTTTTTTCCTATAAATTTTAAGTTAATAACACGTCTGGTATGTAATTTGTATTTTAATTTAGTACTTTATGTAATTTCGTATTTATTTAATTTGGTGCTTTATGTAATTTTGCATTTATTTAATTTGGTACTTTGTGTAATTTGTATTTATTAAATTTGACACTTTATTTAAAATTAAACCTGTTCGAAATTAAAAAATAGAATCATTTTTTTATTATTTTATAAAATAAATAAAAAATACTAATATTTTAATACGAATTGTCTTGGCTATTCAGTTTTAGGAGAGAAAATGCAATAGACAATTACTGTTCATTAAAGACGATTACTATTCACTTGATTAGCCACACTATACTACGGTTTGGTGGTATTTCTCTTCACTTAGTTGGAAGTGAGAGGTCTTAGGTTCGAATCTCGTGGATGACGAATTCGATACCAGATTAAGCTGCTCATTGTATGGATTAGCCAAATTCCTCATTCCCTTAATGTAAAAATATCGATGTATTAAAAACAACAAAAAAAACAAAACAAAAACTCCCCCCTCCCTTAATGTAAAAATATCAATGTAATAAAGACAAAAAAGTTTCATGTTGCCAAGAGGGACCTTTATACATTAGAAGTACTCTAAACCTCATATTTAAAATATAGAGAAATACCATTAAACTATAATGTAATAAACCATTATCTTTTACACTATATATGAGGTTGACAAATGACAAATCGTTGTCCTTAATGGATGGTTGGAGGATTTCATTATATTTGTTAGTATTAATCCATGATATGGTGTGCCACGTACGTCTAGGATCACCAAGTTGATTATGAAGAGTTGAGTGGGTTGATGAAGTTTGAAACAACTATTCCTCAGAAGATTTTAGACATGCATTTCCTTCTTGAGCACATAGGGGAGATTTAATCTGAACCATTCATTTCAACCGTAAGACATCTATAAATTGACTCCCTCATTAAAAGAGCATGTATTCGCACTTGACTTGAGAGTTTGGCTATTGGTTTGTCAAGGTTAATCTGCAGATCATGTCTAATCAAGGTTATTGTGTGGTTTTACTATCTCTTACTTTGTTAAGTTTGGCTATTCATGGAAGCTTGTGCTTCCCTGAAATTAATGGAGATAACAATGGCTCTCCAAGTACCGCTGCTGGTAAGGGAAAAAGATGGGCAGTTCTTGTTGCAGGATCAAATGGTTACTACAACTATAGGCACCAGGTTTAAGCTTGTCCAAAATTTTGATTATTTATAGTATTATTAGTAAATTATTTATCTTAGTTATGTTACAAGTAATAAAAATTAGGGTTACGTCTTAATCTTTTATCGTTCCATGCAGGCTGACATATGCCATGCGTACCAGATACTTAAAAAAGGAGGACTGAAAGACGAGAACATCATCGTTTTCATGTACGATGATATCGCGTACAACTCGGAAAATCCTCGAAAAGGTGTCATCATCAACAAGCCAAACGGACCTGATGTTTATAAAGGAGTTCCCAAGGTTGTAACTAATGTTCTGAGTTTGATTTTTAATTTCTAGCTGGTTAATTTGTTAGTTTAACATTGTTTAATTACCTGTAAGTATTTTTTTTTTTCTAATGCAGGATTATACAGGAACTCACGTTAACGCACGCAATCTCTATGCCGTTATTCTCGGAGACAAAAGTGCTCTCACCGGAGGAAGTGGCAAGGTTCTAAGTAGCGGCCCGAATGACCATGTTTTCATATATTATGCAGACCATGGTTCTGTAGGATTACTTGGTAATTAGTAGTTCTTTTATTTTTATTTTATTAACTTTGAAAATATATATTTTGTGATCTTATATAGTCCCATAAATTCAGTAAACTTCGGGTTACATATGAACGGTATATTGTGTTCAGGGATGCCTAGTGATCGTGTTTATGCGAAAGATCTCATAAGTGTACTGCAGAAGAAGAATGCTTCTAAAGGTTACAAAAGCATGGTAAGAATTTTCACTTGAGTAACAGTCTTACTGAAGTTTTCAACTCTTTTTTTGATGATTTTCATGTATTTTCTGAGGTTTTGATGCATTTATGTGAAAAAAAAAAAAAAAACTAGGTATTTTACATTGAAGCTTGCGAGGCAGGGAGCATGTTTGAGGGCCTCCTTTCAAGTAATCTGAATATTTATGCTACCACCGCATCGAATGCAGAAGAGAGTAGTTACGGAACATATTGTCCCGGTGACCTATCAGTTCCTGCTGAGTTTGATACTTGTTTGGGAGACTTGTATAGCATTTCCTGGATGGAGGATTGGTAATGCGGTGCCTTTCTTTATGAAAATGCTGTTCCAATGAAACAGAGTACATTACTTTGCCAGTTTCAAATACTTTTTCGATCAAATGCTCATACTAATTACTTTGTTGTTTCGGTGACTTTTGGACCATATCTTCACATTTGAGAGCAGTGACATAAGTGATTTGCATAAAGAAACTTTGGAGAATCAATATCAAAGGGTAATATTTTGAAAATTTCTCGTATGTAAAATATTTATGGATATCATCTCTAGTGTTGGTGAAATTAGAATAATATGACCATGTGACCATGTCGATTGAATTACAGGTTCGGAGAAGAACAACTAATTCGCATGTTATGCAGTATGGAGATATGAGTCATAAACAGGAGCTCCTCTTTGCTTACATGGGTTTAGATCTTTCTAATCGTAGCCTTACTTCCACCAGCGATATCTCTTCACCGTCAATCTCAAGGGCTGTTAACCAACGTGACACGAAGCTCCTCTACCTTCAGCAAAAGGTTTCTGCTCTTCTTTTATTCTAAATTCCAAACTTCAATGTGTTTAATTTTCATGTATACACATATATGTATTGATTAGTACATGCCAAACTCTCCTTATAGAGAACTTTTTGTACGTTTTTGACAATTTGTATTTTTCGTTCTACATGTTTCAGCTGCAAAGAGCTCCTACTGGATCTCAAGAGAAACAGGTTGCTCAGAAGCAGCTGCTGCTTGAAATTGCTCTTAGGAAAAACGTGGACTATAGCATAACGAAACTGGGCGAGGTTTTGTTCGGACAGGAGAAGAGCTCAAACGTTTTAATGAATGTTAGGCCACAGGGGCAACCTGTGGTAGATAATTGGGACTGCTTCAAGAACTTTGTAAGTTCATCTCCTCTAATTCTATGCATCAAATCGATACAGACGACACGCAAGTGAATGTGCTTCTTTGTTCATATTTTTGAAGTAAATCAACAAGTTTTATCTCCGAGATTATTAATTTTGAGTTCTTTCCATGCAGTTGAATATTTATGAGAAGTACTGTGGACATTTATCTGCATACGGAATGAAGTACACGCGAGCTATAGCCAACATATGCAATGCTGGGATTACCACAGAGAAAATGGTTGCAGCATCTGATCAGACTTGTACCTAACAAACCCAATGTCTAGAACTTCCTTTCTGATCAGACAAATGATCAATACATGTACGTGTGATGCGAATAAGAAAAAAGAAATAATGCAAAATATTTTGGGAAATTGTCTTGCAAGGCTAATCATAGGGCAGACCTGAAAGAACCTGAGGTAATTGAACATCCTCTGTTGAAGGTATATGCCTTCATCTGTCCCATGCAGATTCTCAGAAATGGTCTCTGGACTCCGATGGGAGGTATTCGCGCATTGTCTCCTCATACGCGAGGATTTCCAGTCTCATATGTTCATCAAATATATCATATCTTAAATTCAACTAATCAAAATACAATACTAGTTCCAAACTAATTTCAGAATCACAGACAATCATCTAATTCTCCTCCTCTTCAAAGTTCTGGCTTGCCTTCCAACAGTTCTCACCTTGCTTAATTGAAGACGTCTAGAACTTCTCACCGTTCGAGACCTGCCCACAACACGAACAGACCTTCCCCTAGACTTTAACCTTACATGGCGATGGCTGCGAGCATCATGCCTACTTGAAGGGTAAATCGAGCTCTGCAGCCTGTCCTTTCTTCTCCTGCTGACTGACTTCCGCTTTCTACTGACGTTTAAGTTATGATGGTTATCCCACAAGTCATTTTCTTCACTCGAACTGAAGCCTTGTTCTATGTCTCGAAATTGGCGGCGGCGGCAATGGCGGTGACGACGTCGGTCTATCCTCCTAGTGTTCCTTAGCTTGTACCACAAGAAACAAGTAATATCTTCCAATGCAAACCAATATGTCTCACATGCAGCCCAACACATTTTACATAGGCTCTTTCCAACGCATTGGAAGATTCCCAGCTTGAATAATAGATAAAAGAACAACAAAGCTGAAAGAAAATAAAAGATATGAGTAATTAAGCAACAAACCAACCCTTCTGAAAGTGAAGCTCAAATTTAAATGCTCTTCGGAGATAATCTTCGAATCGAAGAAAATAGTGGAATTAAGATTAAACTAATTAAAGAAGAAAGAATTACTTATGTAGCAGAGAATCGATATCATTAACAGTCTCAATAGATTGGAGACACAAAGATGCTCAATGAAACAAATCAAATCCCAGGGTCCTGAACAAACATCCCTGCGGAATCGAAAATATTATAGTATTAGTTGTGAAGTATAATCCAAAGGTAAATTTAGCATACAGTCACATCATCTTTGCTTGAAAATGAACATATGCAAGCAGAGAAGTGTTCATCTTCCCATCTTGCAAAGGAATACTTCCCCTTTCGATCTGCATCAATGCCTACGAGCCTAACGCATTGTTTGTCCACTAACAACCTCAGAACATAAAGTGTCTATCAATAAGTAAAAATATGAACGCCAATGGCAAAACAAGGACATATAAACTTAAACTTCATGTATAGCGTATCTGTACTAGCATGAAGGGCATTACAATATTTAAGAAGTGCATTACGAAGAAATTCCTTCTGCCAACAAAGTAATTCACCAAAATATTTTACCATCTAAGTAAGTTTACGAGAAAATGGAAAAAAAAAATGTTATACAAAAGAGACTTATAGGAAGCCTCCGAGTCAGTGTAACAAACAAACTACTGCAGATGAAATGAAGTCAGCATCTATTCCGGCAAAGGTGTAGGACATAAAGCATCATACAAATTTTTTTTCTGAAATTAGGTCATCTGGTTGGTTGAACAGAACATGGTCAAGAATAAAGAGAACAATACAACTTACTCGCACGAGGTATTGAACATAGTCTTAAATGGAGCCAAAAATGCTTTCTCAAGTAGATCGCCGACCCCATTTGCAGCTTTACTAACGACATCCCCCATTACGATACAAGTTCAAATGACTGTGTTTCCTGCTGCCAACTCCTTTCCAATCGCACTGTGACAAGAAGTCGAACGTTCTTAAGTTAAAGACCAGAGCCCTAGTTAGTCACAACCAAGATCATACTGCACGAATACCAAAAGATCCAGTGACAAAACCAAATTCCATTTTTCTGCTAAATTTTCTGGTAGTAATAATGCAATGACGGTTACAAATATGAAGTTATCAAATAGGAAATACATACTACTTACGTCTGTCTACTCCATTCCAACGAAGTCGGAGACAAAGTACTTGTTAGGATCGGAGACCTTCTTCCAATCTTCAAGCCTGCTATTAAAAAAACAAACCCACCAAAATCCACGTCAAATACATACTACTCAATCCGGCATAACCTAAAATTTTGATGGAGTTACTCATCCATAATGTATAAAACTAACATTTTCGGACATGCCAAATAACTGTAATTTCATGATCCACATAACAACCCAGTCCAATCAATTATATTGATGTAGGGAAAGGAAAAGTACTTAAATTTGAAAAACTAACAGAATCGCCATCTAATTATCTAAACAGAACTTTGACTTGCCAAAAAAAGAAGAAGAAGATGTACGAGGAAGAAGAAGAGGGGAACGATATCTCAGATGTGTAGGGTTCGGTGTTGGGGCGTGAACAAATTACAGATAGGGGAGATGATGCTTGAGAGTGCGTTACAGAGGACAGAAGACGGATATGTGCCATCCGACTTCTAGAGGGGCGGGAGTATAATTTGAAAATGAGAAATTTTATTCGTATCTAACCAATTATATTAGAGTGAATCTCAAAATTTACTAACTGAAATTTCGTGGTTTTCAACATTGGTACATGAAGTTTTTCTTTATCTTAGAATCATACCTCCGGTTTAAATTTTGGGATAATTTCATACATTTATTAGAACTTCTATTAACTAATGATGTAGCGTCTACGTGGATAATAATTGAGCGCCACGCGTCAATAAGCCCACTTCAATATTAAAAAAATATAAAAAAAAATACAATAAACCCGCTCGTCGTCTACCTCCCCCAACGCCCTCCCTTCCTTCTTCCCTCTCTGCAACCCGCACCCCTTCCATATTTGGGTAGAAAATTCAAACAAAAGCCCAAACAGTTGTACTGATACTAAAATGCCTTCGTCTTCCATGGAAGAAATTGAAAATTTAAACCACCCATCAAAGCAGAAAATTACGAGGGAGAAAATCAAATCATTACCTGAGACCCGACGAGAGAGATGCCGAGAGACGTAGAAGAGTGCGAGAAGATGGGAGGATTTTTTTTTTTTTATATCAGATCAAGTTCTAAAGATGCTGGCAGGGTAGCTCGGTGGTGTGCGAGAGGAGAGTGAATTTCTTGTTAGGGTTTAAGAGAGAGTGGTTTTGGGGGTTTCAATTCGAACCGAGAGAGACTGTGCTCGCGAGGATATATTTGTTATTTGAGAACATAGGATAAGGAGGAATGGAGAGAAGGAGGGAAGGGTGTGGGGGTTTCGGTCTGGGTTTGGGTTGGGGTGCAGGATAAGGAGGAGGAAGAGGAGGGTGGGGGTTAGGAGAGGAATGGTGAAGGGGGGATAAAAATGGGGGAGAGAAAACGGAAAGCCGAAGAGGGTGTTGCAGGTGCAGAAGAGAGAGAGAGGGAAGGGGTGCAGGTTAGGGATGGGCAAATAGTCATTGGTTACGGTAACTGCGGTTATCTGTTTATTTAAATTTGACGATTACAGTTATGGGTAATTATTTAGAAAAATAAATAGTTATGAGTATAACCGTTTACCTGTGAAATTTAAATAGACGGTTATGGATATTACTTGCGGTTATAAATGGGTATCCATTTAACCGTCTATTTTAATATATGTAAAACAAAAAAAAACAAAAAAAAATTAGTTTCTAACTAGGTTTAGTATCTCGAGATATATTTGGTTATAAAGGACCATATAATAAATATATATATATATATATTTATGCCTCACTTGAGAGAAAAATATAATTGATAGAACGGGCTAATGTTTAATATATGTGATTGAATGTGCTAAAATATTACAATGTTCGACAATTTTGTTTTGGAGTTTTGACTAATTCAAGATAATGATTACCTTGAGCATTTAGAAACATGTTATTATCAGATAATACGTACCTATATATATTATTAGAGTTGTTAGAGATTGAAGTGAAACGGGAGTCATGTATTATTATGTTTATTTTCTTCACTAATATCAGATAAGAGAAATGAACGTAGAGAGGGACAAATGAGGAAAACATGATTATTACTTTATGTTTTCATCTTTTTGTACTACTCATACGATACAAGCATACGCTCTTTTAATGCAATATAATTTTGACTTCTATTCTTCCACTTTCCACCCTTAGCCATATGTGGTTGTTTTTTTTTATGTGAGCATTCACACCAATGTCACAACAGAAATCATTACTTGAATATTTATAGTCTCAACAACTACTAATGTTAGTAGAAAACAATTCAAGAATTAATTACAAAAAACAAAAAGACACAACTTTGTATTACTTGTAGGGCAAGTAACCCCATTATTTTTCTTAAAAAAGCACAAGGTACGGAGAAATATCATCACAGTAATTCTCAAGCCTATATTTTCTCTTTATGCAACTCCACCCCCTCTCTCTCCTTTAGTTAATTTAGGCCACAACGCATTGTTAAACACACTCCTGACACTGAGCTAAGAAACTGAATGCTTATTTACTACAAAGTCATTCACAATATTCATCAAGCAATCCAAGTAATCTATAAAACATGGTTTCAATTTTAATATTTTTTTTAGCAATGATTGCTTAAAACATTCACCATGAAGCATGAACTCTAATTTTACGTTTTTTTTTTTTTTTTTTTTCAAATTATAGATTCAGCTTCAATTTATTGTTCTTATAATTATGGTGATTTAAATATGTGTGAATAAGAGAAGGAAGAAAATGGGGTTTTTCAAACCCTACACGCATGGGAGCCGCAGCCTGAAGCCGCGCTGCCCGAGCCAAGTCGTTCCTGTTCCAAAATTCTAAGGTCCAAAACAAAGTCGTTTTACATCACCTTTCTTACAGACCTAAGCTGCCTGCAGTCGACCTGCAATCTAATTGGGCATATGCACCAAACCGTCCCACTTTTTTTTTTTTTTCTCTTTTGGGCCTTATTTTATTTTTGGCTCACATGAAATAACAAGCCTATGGGTTAGGTCTTGTTTTTCACTTTTCCTTCTTAGGCCAATAATTGGGTATATAATTTGTTAATCCATTTACTTCTCCTTTGTTGCCGAGCAACCTAACAACCACTCTTTTGGGTCTGCAAGCCACGATAGCCCCATAGTTTGGGTCGTCATTCATTCTTTTCGCACATAGGTCCTAAAGCTATTCTCGTTCACTACATATGTATATTGCGTTTGTTTACAGGTATCATGAACTTAGAGTTCGTACTTAAACTTGAACTTGAAGTTTTGAAAATAAGTGCCGTAGAAATTCGAAGTTTCATAAAACAATACACCCGTAAAAATCCAGAGTTCTTGTAGGTGATTTATTAAGATTACATGTAGATGATACTTTTAAAAACAACTGTAAAATTTAGTTTGTACAAATTACTTTATTGTCTATAATTTTATTTTGTAATAGAAGACAAAAATATTTTTTCACCCTTTTATAGTTGACAAAAAGAGTTTCATTAATATGTGGTTTAAATTAACTTCTTCCTTACAAATCTGGTATGTGTAAATAAACTAGCTTGAAATAGGTCCAATTTTATAGAAAGAGATTCTCTTCAGATCTTTTCCACCAAATTCATCCAATCAATCAATTCAGGCTCTTGAAATTTAATCCAACGGCTACTAACAGGGGACCCCTTTAAAAGTTATAATAACTTTAGCCGTTGAACTAAATTTCAAGGATCCGAATTAGGTGATTGGGTGGATTTAGTGGAAGAGATCCGGAAATGATCCATTTCTCAATTTTATGGCCTAACAATTAGATTAGTCCAATTTTTAGTTATTTTTTTATTTAGGTCCATGAATAGGACTCCATGTGTCAACACTTTTTGTTGTTAGGTTATACTTTACATTGTGATTACTATTTTACTCTACTATAGCTATTCAGTGGAAAAAGAAAAAAAAATAATACGATCGATACTTTGCTAACTATTCTTTATCAAGATAATCGCTAAAAAGATAGCGACTATTAACAGAAAAAGTCGCTATCTTCTTACCGATCCCTCCTTTTTCAATTTTTTATTTTTCGGTTTTTTTTTATTTTTTTATTTTGTTAATGATTTTTTTTATTTCTCTTACCATAACAACAAATTATCATATTCGTGTTTTTCAAAATATATTTTTTCCGTGCACAATATATTATAATTCACTTTTAAACACTTGTAGTCAATGATTTAAAACCTAAATTTAAAGATATTTTTCTATTTTCTCACTTTAAGAATCAATAAAAAATAGTTTCACGACCTAATAATCTGTAGAATCACATCCAAAGGTTTTGCAATATTTTCGTTAACTCCAGCGCAAAATATTTCTTAAAGCTAAAAATTTCAAATTTTTTTTTTCACAAAAAATTGTGTGCTATAAGCCAAAGTTAGAGTCATTCTATTCGCACCAAATATTTCCTAAAATTAATTTAGGACATTTCCAAAATTTCAGACACCTGTAAATCTCTTGGGGGGCCTCGCTATTAGTTATATTATTTTCTATTTTTTTTTTTCAACTCAGGTACCCTATTAGTCGACATAAACCCAAATTTCAGTTGATCTTTTACAATCTAAGCTACCTATTATATAAGTACTTTTATAATCTAAACTACATGTCATATAAGTACTTGTACAAGCTAAACTACCTATCATATTATAATATTAGTCAACATAAACTTAGATTTCAACTGATCTTTTATAATCTAAACTACCTATTATATAAGTATTTTTACAGTCCGAACTACCTGCTATATAAGCACTTGTACAAGCTAAACCACCTATCGTATTGTAACTACCTATCATGGTGGAATAAGTAATTTTACATAATTCTAACAGTAAGATGTAGTCTTCCATCTTGGTAATGTTAAAAGCCCCCGAAGCTAACACAATCAATGTCAAAAGCATCTTGAGCAATTACTTACGTAAGACAATCAATGTATAATACTCACGAATCATGTAGACTAGAATCATGTAACAAATACTAGCAAAAATGAAGCTTACTGTTGTAAATGACTCAACGAAAGCATGTAAAATTACTTATAGTTCTCATAGCTTCATGCGAATTCAAATTCAAATTTGAATACTAATCTGCAAGAATCGTGAGAAAAATTCAAAACATGAGCCGGATAGAGTTTTTGATTAAATCGTGAGATTTGATGAGTAACTTTTTTTTTTTTTTTTTAATACAACAATATATTTTACACTAAAAAAGATGAGAGTTTTTTTTATGAAATGATAAGATTTGATGTGTAATTTAAAGTTTCATGTTAATTATGGAAGAGTCATGATAAAACATTCAACGACAGTCGATGCAATTTTGTTTTCAAATTATGGACACTTTAATTGCTCTACTTATTAGACCCTACCTATGAATGTGCAATACATTAGACCCATATCAAAACATACGGATCAGGATCCTCTCCTGAGCAAAGGGTGAGGATCCTCTTAACCAAGTCCATCGGGCTGTTGAAATTTTATCCAATGACTACAAACAGAAGGCCCCTCTAAAAGTTATAATAATTGTAGCCATTGGATAAAATTTCAATAGTCCAATGTGCTTGATGAGGAGGATCCTCACTGCGGGTTGCAAAGGAAAGAAGGAAGGGAGGGGTGGGGGGAGGTAGAAGATGAGTGGTTTTTTTTTTTTTTTTTTTTTTTGTGTTTTTGTATTTTTTGAATTTTTTTAATATTGAAGTGGGCCTATATTGACACGTGTCGCTCAGTTATTGTCCACGTGGACGCCCCATCATCAGTTAACAGAAGTTCTAATGAAAAACTTAATTGATGTATTGAACTGTCCCAAAATTAAGACTTGAGGTATGACTCTGGAATGAAAAAACTTCATGTACCAAATGTTGAAAATCATGAAACTTCAAGGTAGTAAACTGAGATTAATCCATTATATTATTACAATTGGTGTACCGACCTTGTCCCGTCACACTAAAAAATCTCAAGTGGAAAAGGGTTGGTTGGGTTTTATTTTAATTTTTTTAGTGGTGTTATACTCACCCCGTTGTCTTATTTTCCCACCCATCTTATATTCTCACCCTGCATAAAAAGTGAAAAAACACATAACTCTTTCCTCACCCACCAATATTCCCAAAACAACCCTAAAGAATTTTTTTGTTAGATTTAACAAAGATATAATTTTAAAAAGCAATTATTATTAGACCTTAGTTTAGTTACAGCAATGAAGAACGGGTGCCATTCTCGCTGACATGAATTTGTATCATCTCTTTACACCTAGCCAAACCACCATCGACACCCTCAAATCCTCAGCCCAACCGCACCATTCCCCAAAACCCCATCTCAGACATATCAACACCCTCAAAACCACGCCACATCAACACCCAGTTTCCGCCTAGGTCGCCAACCATCGCAACACCACCACACCTCAAAAATGCTTCAGTGCAGAATCTCTATCATTATCCACTTTAATATAAGTCTTCTATGAAATCTTCCACGAAATCCTCTGGGAAAACCTCTTGACGAGAATTCTAACAATTCACTCAATATTATGTTCGTCTTCCTCCACTTTGGTTCCTTGACAACCAAAAAATATGAAACAGTAAATGCAAGGATGGGAAAACCAAAAACCACCAGGTCCTATTGCAATGACTGATACAACTACAACTCCTGACAAGGATTTTTCATTGTATTGGACTCAGGTTATGTGTATTAATACCGTAATTTATTTTGGGAATGCCAATCCATACGCACGCTATGAATATTTCTGAATTTTGTGCTACAATAAAATGAAAAGAAAAGTTAAAAACATTCATAAACCAGATGAATAACACTTACCCGTATAACCCCCTACCAGTAATCTCCACAAGAACACTTGCCTTCTTTAAAGTGATGAAATCTACTAGCATCAAGTACTATGATCTCTCGATTTTTCTATTAGAGATATGTTAATAGCACCATGACAATCGATACAAACCCGCAAATTCTTCATAATCCTTACTTGTACACCCTTAGGAATGTTCATTAAGGCAAAAGCAATCGCCAACTTCTCACTATGATGCTTTAGGTTTCAAAACTTTAAAGCGTATAACTAATAATTATGTGACAAAACTTGATTGGTTGGTCTTTAGGTATTTGGAGGTCATTTTACAAGGATAAATTTGTCCATAAATATATTATTTTCAAACGGGTAAGAAAATAAGACAATGGAGTGTGTTTACTAACACTTTTTTTAGAGCTTTCATGAAAAGGGTTTGGGCTAATTTTATTTTAACAAAAATTCATGCTATAAACTTATTTTTAATGAAAAATAATTAAATATTAATGAAAAACCCTTAAATTTTAATTTAAAAAAAAAGGCAAAAGAATTTAAATTTTACTGAAAATGACATAATTTTAATATAAAAAATTAAAAAGAAAACCTAATGCCAGGACCCGTGTATCCATCACAGACACTGTTTTTGAAACTGAACATTATTTATGAAACTAAATGGTACTAAACTATTTATTGGTCATGTTTCATAAATAGTGTCTAGTTCTTGGTCCACTTTCATAAATAGTGTCTAGTTCTTAGTCATGTTTCATCAATAGTGTCTAGTTATGAGATTCAGTTTCATAAATAGTGTCTATTTCTTTCATAAATAGTGCCTAATTATTGGTCCACTTTCATAAATAATGCCTAGTTCTTGGTCAGATTTCATAAATAATGTCTAATTATTAGTCTAATTTCATAAATAGTGTATAGTTTAATTTTATAAATGGTTTCCACCTATAGTTTAAATTTAGAAATAGTGTCTAATTCTTAATTTCATTTCATAAATAATATCTACTTTTGGTCTAGTTTCATAAATAATGTCTGCAAAATTGAAAAATAACGCAAACTAAATCGATAATGTCAAATACAAAATATCCATCAAATAGTGAGTGCACATATAAAGCTTTCGATCATTTTAGTCTCGGATACTAATTATTTAATTAATCATGATGGCAAGGTCATGCAAGACCCTAGTGGAATAAGCAGGAGATCAAGTTTTGTTGCATTCTCAACTCCTGAATTAAATAAAAAAATTCTTCATCGTTAATGATTTCCAAGCATTAGTGGAGATCTGGTTTGATGATAAGAACAAGTTGGAGATCAGGTTTGACAAGAAGTTGTACCCAAAACAACGCTTTTGCCGCTTTTCTTACTCTTGCTTTTAATTGGGGTTTTTTTTTCTAGTCTTTATCGTTAAATATATATCCACTCATAAAGTGTGTGAAATTTTTTATTTTTATTTTTTAAATTGAAGAAAAGAGGAAAAGAGTGTGAGAAAACGTAAAAGTAAGGAGAGGGGGGAGAGGTATATTTTTAATTTTTATTTATTTTTTGATTTTTAATTGTTGTAAATTAGGAATGTTAAAGTCACGTGAGATTCAAACAAAAACCAGCAAAATGCTTGTTCTTATCACCAAGCCAGATCTCAACAGAATCAATGATTTTTAATTCTATCATTCGACTTTTCTGTTTACTGACAAAAAATGTGGGTGATTTGAAAACGTGACAAACTTCGGATAATTTCGATCATGACTCATCCATCATCTAACTTCAACTTAAACAAGATATGAAATTTAGGGATGAGTACGGTTTGGTTTGGTGCGATTTTGAAGCCAAAACCGAAATGAAACTAAACTGTTTGGTTTGGTTCAGTACGGTTTCAAATGGTTTCGGTTTGGTTTTTAAGAAAAAATGTACAATTTGCAATTTAACATATTAATAAGCATTTCCCAATAGCAACAAGAAAAAGACATTTGTTATGTAAACAATTAGCATGTTGCATGCAATTGTGATGTTAAAACATGTTTGTGCAACAAAAGGATGTCCCTTACAATGTTTATCATAAAACAAGTTGAATAAATTTGAATTCATTAAACGTGAGCGAAACTTTCATACTAGAATATGTGATATCATGCTTCAAATGAGTGGACTTCATTAGATCATTGTTCGACTCTTGATAACAAGGTTAGTCCACCCTTATACATATATGTGTGTGTGATGATATAAAATAACAAAGGTCCTTCAAGTTAACGAACCACAGAAAGTGATGAATGATGACATTCTAGTGTGGTTGAGTCCATACTAAGTGTATAAATTTTAACAAACAACCAATTAAAACATGAAATCTAATATGGACATTTAATTAAATATTTATTAATATTTGCAGTGTAGTTTGATTTTAGTGCGGTTTTCAAAAGCTAAAACCAAAACCAAACTGTTTTCTATGTTCGTTTCAAAACCGCAAAACCAAACCGTTTGGTACGGTTCGATTTGATTCGTGTTTCGGTTTCGGTTTTCAGTTCTAAGTGCCCACCCCTAATGAAATCTAATCAAATTCAATCTAAACACCAAACTAGGTTTATATGTAAAACAACGCACAATGATAATTGATTAAAATTGGACTTCAGCTGTTCATCTGTACTTTGAGGCAAATGCAATGAAAACTGAAAAGCCAACTCATTCCTAACAACAACAAAGCGTTCTATTAACTAGGGTTTGCTGTTTGAATTCTAGATCATCATTCCACTCAGTTACGCCAAGTCCCAATTAATTTCTAACAAAAGGAAATTAATGTTAAACATGTATGATATCGACCAACCTTTGCTCGTAATTCTTTTATACAGCTGAGAGCGGAATTTGAAAAAATATATATATTTTTTTTCTAATTTCTATACAGAAAAAAATCACAACCTGAATATAACTGTGGAATGGAACAGATTCATCTACGGCACACGCTCCAGTACATGCTGCAGGGCTTTTTTGATACCTTCCTGATCAAGTGTTGTAGTCAGTTGTATTTCCTGAACCTGAATCACAGATCATATAAACAACGTTTGTATGTGTGCACTTCCGAAAGCGTACATGTTCTTAACAGTGTTTGATTTGAGAGAGAGAGAGAGAGCGTGAGGTCGAACATAATGAAACTCACCTGCCTTCCCGCACGAGCAAGGAGAGTAAATTTCCGATTAATGGCCGGTGACTGTTTAAAAATAAGATAAAAATGAAGGTTTTACAATAAGAAAATAGAGTTGCTTAGATTGAGTCATTTCGCAGAAAGGAACTCACATTCGAAAGCCAAAGCTGCAGGTCCTGTGAAACCACCCTTTTCTCAAACCCCTGGCGACTGATTCGTACATCATCTATACTGGAAAGTATTAAGGCAGCAACAATCAAGACATCAGTTTCTCAAAAACCAAGCAATTCACACGGTATGTTTGAACTCCAAGAAGATAATTAACGAGCAAGATGAATATACACACGCAAAATAAGATTACATTGTGACTACAGAAAATCATTCAAAGGAGGCAAATGCTTTTGTAGCTAGCAAACTCCTTCCTCATTTACACCCATTCTGGAAGGCAACATTCACCACGTCTGGAATACTGTTGTTATAACATTACTACTCATATAATATAATAACTGTTAATATAATCAATGACCCAAAAATCAAGTTATGAATTGCAAATAAAATATATCGATAGCTCACTACACTCTCCCTATTCATGTGTAGCCCCATCCTAGGGATGGAGATCCAAAGAATTGGAGACATCGAAACACAAATTGGCGTAGCCCCACCCTGAACCTTGCAAACCAAAGAAGCAGGGAATGGAGATTTGAACCCAGGACCTCATGCAAACCAAGGCTATGATAGAATGTAAGTTAATCGCCGACCCTTAAAAGCTTAAGTTGTTGGGGAATGAGCCAATAATGTATATCAAGTAAACAACAAAATACTGTTCCCATTAGATTCAACAAATAAATGTTTACAAGACTCCTAATAGACTAATAATCTGAACTGCAATAGTTTACCACTCAGTCTTTGAAAGCGTGTAATTTAATCACAACCAATGCTTTGGAAACTTCATGCTTATAAGTGCAATTTTGGAATAATATATTTTGAAAATATAATGAATTAACTTTTATCTAATGAGAAGCCAAAGAGGCCTGGACTACTTTGTTGCAAAAAAATTTAAAACGAAGGAGTTGAATTTTGACCTCAGAACATGTATGAGTTCATGAATGGAGTTCGGTAGTCAATCATTTATTTCTTTATTTACACTTTTTTTGAAGTTCTGACAAAATCTAGTTTTTGGTAACTATCATCAGTTTATGTTGAGATAAATATTGTCTTGACTCTTGACAGCAATGTTACAGTCTTGGAACTTTTCCAAATCCTAAATATTCATACGGATTCTAGTTTCTCAATCGAAGCCATTAAATTATTCAGAAATAGCTCTTCATAAACCAAAAAATGCAAAAACCTTACCCATCTTCCTGTACTAGCTCTTCAAGTATGGATGCAAGGCCTGGAAGAGGTTCTATATCATTGCTAGTGCTAGTGCTAGTGCTCAAAGAATCAGGATCTACAGAGCCATCCTGTGAATCGTCAAACTCATCAGTTGAGAATTATAAATGAGACTACAACTGATATATCAGATATTAGCATGTTACAAACCTGTGGTATTACTTTGTCCAATGTTTCTAGAAGCGGATCTTCCTCCAATTGTTTAATGGAAAGTGTAATTCTTGACTTTTCTCTGCATAAGATTTTCACATGAAAACTCATCTGAATTTATCTGTACAGGTAAGTCAGGTGGAAACTAAACAATTTTTTTTTTATAATTTTATCATCACATGCACCTTAATTCTCAACTGTGAACTGTCCATCTGATCAAACAGATGAGAAATATGGCTTTATTTAAGGGCATTTTTGCATGTAATTGTGTGTGCGCATGTGCATAACACCTAAAATTTTAATCATACAATAGAACTCACCTATCGATATTAATAATCTTGACCCTTACGTCGTCACCCTCAGTTAAAATGTCTCTTATATCCTGAACTAAATCCCATGAAACCTCTGAGACATGTACTAGTCCAGTCAGATGATAAAGACCTGTTTCATTGTTTTAGATGCCAATTAGGAATTCTGTTCTTTTTTTTTTTTTTTTTCATGTCGAATCAAAATGTAGAACAGCATATAAGAAAAATACCATCAGGAAATCGCAGGTGAACAAATGCACCATAATCCTCCATAGAACCCACCCTAGCTTCAAAAACATCCCCAACACTAATTTGCTCAGAAAACTTTGACCAGACAGCTTCCTTTTCTGAGAAAATTAGTTTCTTGTTCTCTTCGTCTGCTTGGATCACCTAAAATATCAAGCAACTGAGATTTAGTTGTACATTAAAGACAACTCTTTTGTACATTCCAACCAGGAAAAATAGCAAATCTGTATAATAATTGTGACTAGGTAATAGAGTGAAACTTAAAAATGAAATCTTTGCATATCTTCATCTGGTCTCACAAAAAGGAAAAACACGACTGTAAAATCTAAAAAAAGACAAATGCCGAACATTGCACCAACCATGGAATCGAGTACTAATACAAGTACGAGTCCAAACTACATTCGTTGTACATTCATATAGTACTAATTTCATCTTCATCTTCTAAGACTCTAGATGACTTTTATGTAGTCTGCTTTTTCAAGCTACTTATGTTCTTTACGTAGTCAGCCTTTCAGCCTTCCATTATTTTTCATTAGTCTGATCGTCGGCCTGACCAATAAGGTCAGAAACAGATTGACCAAATTGACATGATTTTTTTTTATAAGAACTTTTGATTGACATATCAAAGAAATAATGGTTCAGTCATCATTTTGGTTGAAAAGTACAATGATATGACCCTCAACTAGTCACCACTCTCATGCACCCAGTTCTCTCTCTCTCTCTCTAACTTCCATGCAGAGCTTCAATCAAGCAATTAAAGGTCAAGACACCAAAATTGTTATATCAAAAGCCTTAGATTCACTGATCCCACACCTTTCCTTCTCTCCACCGTTAGCATGGGGGTGACTAACCTAACCGCTTTAGCATGGGGGTGACTAAGCTAACCACTTTAAACATATATACCAAAGGTACTCCTTGGTATCACAAATTCACAATTGAGGAACCATATCACAATTGTTAACCCTCCCATGAGCAATAATCCAATCAAACAACCAAACCCTTGGAGGTACTTTCATCCTTCAAACTGTATTGAGGAGATATAATAGGATATAGAAGGGTCCTCCATCACCTGACTCGAATAAGATTTAAAAGGAAAGACCCCTTATGGCCCCAGCATCCACCTCCACCTATCCATCCTTGATGAACCCACATCTGACTGAGATAATAAGGGCATAAGCTCCCCAACTTCCAAACCATTCAAGTTTCTATGAAAGTTGAAACCCAACATCCCAACTTCTTTGAAACTGAGAGGGATTAACACACCCCCTAGGTATGCAAAAATTGTGACACTGATAGTCTGTATAATCTAGGAAAAGAAAAGGATACGGAATTTTCCCCAACCCACCTCTCTTCCGAAACCTCACCCTTTTCCCACTATTCAACACAAAACAGATAAAAAAAAAAAAAAAAAAAAAAACAAGTTCATGCCTAGTGAAATGCCCTTTTGATAAGATGGTTTTTTCTAAAAAGATCAACAGTTTGGGGTGAATGGAATATTTAACAAATTAATGAAACATATATTTATGTAATTAAGATCATCACCTTCACGGATATAAGTGTACCAGGTAAACCTTTTGCAATCTCTTGGAGGCCTTTTCCCCGTTCTGCATGAAATGGAATCATAAACATAATAGAATATAAATTACAAGTACACTTCCTAGAACATAAAGTTGGTAAAAAAACTCATTCCAATTAACATAGATGTATGGATAATCGGATATCAGCAGACTAGTACGAATATGCAGGATTGGTTCCCCTAAGTGTAATTATTCAAAGTAAAGAAGGCACTGCCAAGGCATACTGCATGCCTGTAAGTTTTCTTCATAGGAAGACTTTGAATTTGAATAATATACAAACAGAGGATCTTTAAATGAAACTTTAAGAAAAAAATCATGTCAAATGTTTAACTTCTATGTCATACAACGTATACAAGTAGAAAACAAAAGGCTAACAAATAGAACGGCTACATAGAGAGATATTTCCCACCCTAGCCAAACCTTGCCCCAACATAAGGTCATAATCTCGCAAGGGAAAGTGAAAGGCATCTCAAATCCATCCACATCAAGACCATGTGATTCAATGGAAATTATTATCGACACTAATGATATCAACAAAACTTAATAAATTAAAAAAAACATTTGAAAACAAGAACAGAACATGAAGAGCAACTACAGTTAGTAAATCAGTACCTTTGCAAAAATGTGATGGGCTTAACTGTGGAAATGGAAGAAACCCCACTAGGGAATGAAACTTAATCAGCAAACCTCCACCATTATATCCTTCAACCATGCCCTCATAGATCAATCCACTGTCGCTATAAGCCTTTGCTACCTTCCAATCAGCAGATCTCTACTTCTTTGCAGAAATTAAGTATTAGCTCGTACAAGAGTATGGAGAATTAAACTTGTGAAATCAGACCAACTTGAAATGCTTCTCTATTTTCAAATAATTATATTCTTCTTGCGGATAACGAATAAACAGAACAAACCACAGCAATGTCTCCATTTATTCTTGTCTATCCGTACCGGCAAAGGAAATATAATAATTTGCATTCTCCAAACCATTGCCATTATATTCATTCGACGGTAAGAACTCAAAAATTATAGTACTTAACTCTACCTCTGATGACTCCCATTTAAAAACATTGCCCTTAAAACATGGGGTTGGGTTCTGTCATTCCAAGAGGCAAATGGGGTTCTTCGAACACATACACGCATGCCATACAAAACACAAAACCCAAAAACATCGAAAAATGAAAGTACCCAATACAAAGTTACAAATTCAAAAACATCCACTACTAATCAAACGAAACACATGACAAGAAATTGGAAAATTGAACACACCCGAGCGTCTTGGAGGGCCTCTGCAGAGGCAGCCGAGTCCTGAACCAGTCCGGAATGTTGGGTGTCGGAGACTCTGCTCGACGCGTAAACCGAACATCTTCTCTTGCAGTGAGACTTGTGGGAATGCCTTGAGAAGTTGATGTGATTCAACAGACAAGACTTACTGCCATTGTTGCAGAAGGCAATGGTATCGCCGGTAGTAAAGAGCTTAGAGGAGGCTGAACCCAGAGCCAGTGCACTTGTTTGCAGTGGCATTCTTCTGCAGAATCTGGATTCTGGGTTTTGGGAATTTGGATAGATTATCTTAGAAACAGGGGTGGATTGGATAACGTTTCATTTTTGGTGGGGAAAAGCTTTTGGGGAACCCTGCTTGAACGTTCCAAGTGTCATATTCTAGCCCACATGAAATCTCTATCCATTTTTGTTAGACATTACGTTGAATAAAGGCGGGTTTAGAAAGTTTTTTTCATGTTTAGAAAGTGTTTTTAATATAATTAAAAGCGTTTTTAGTAAAGTAATTTTTTTATTTTAAAAATTTTTTGAAGTGTATTTTTCAGATTCATTTGTATTTTTACGTCGTATATCAACAAATTATGGTTTCAAGGGTTATCCAATATGAAAAGATTTACTTTTAAGTGAATATGTGAATGTACGATATGATTATTAAGAGAAACGTGTGATTTCTAAACCTATTGAGATGACCCAAGAATTTCTCTATTTCAATTTTACCAGTCCTTGGGAGCAGCGTAGCGACGAATGGTTCAGAATAGAATAGGACGGGACAAATCAACAGGAAATGCTATTTGATTTGTAAGAGTAAGAATAAACTTTTATGATCGGTTCCAAAAACATTTTCATCAAAAGTGATTTCAGTTATTTTAAAAGCATTTCCAAATGAGTCATAAATGAATGAAAAATCAAGAGATAGAAATAAAAAAGAAGTGCAGAATGAGAGAACGAAAGTGCAGAAATTATAGTTTTTCATTTGGAGGGAAGCAGTGAAGCAATGCTACTTAAAACTCCATCGTCTGACTATCGTCTTTGAAGTTGTCAAAAATTAAGTAAACAGAGTTTGGATGCCAAGATTATACGGAAAATGGTCAGGTAAAAATGGAGGCCTGAGCAAGATTCAAGGTCCTGCTTAAATTACAGTCGGCTTCTGTCGCTGGATACGCTTCTCATCCAAAATCACCAAGAGGTGGATATAATACAAAATTATTTAGTTCTATAGTTGATTCGGGCAGCTCATGAAGAAGAATTCTCTCCTCTCATATGTCTAATAAATTTGACGACCCACGGCCTAACGATAAATTAAAATGACACAAAATTTGGCCTCCCTCCTTTACTGTGGTGTTTCATCAGCTTGTGGTACCTACCTCGCAAATACAATCAGAACCCAGATTGCATTCTAAAAATGTGTAATTTCCGGCAAAAAGTACGGTAGCCTTCAATATCGTATCATATGTTTATTGACATTGCAGGAAAACTGCCTCATCGAACAGAAATTGAGTGCAATATCTAGCTATTCAAATGAAAATTGAACGCAAAGTTCGGCATAGAACTTTTCAGATATTACAATTAATGGTTTGACAAATAGTGTGTGTGTCCAAAACAGGGTAAAGAGATATGTACCCTTGCAATGGTTGTGGAGGTTACAGCCTTCCCGGTCTGCACAAGGTTTGAGTGGCGGGGAAAGTGCTTTATCTTAATCGAGGAGACTTAAATGAAGAAAGTAGCCTCCCTTGGCTAAATCTCAAGTCATATAAGTTAGCAACAAAATTCCATGGCTTTCCAACATAACTGATGGTGATGATGGGATGGAGAAAAAATCATGCATGCTTGAACAGTTTCATGCTGAGCCAGTGAAAATATACAGCTACCACGAGGACCGGCAGAGTCAAGGGCACCAAGAAGCAATAGTACCTGTCAAAAATAAAAAAACTAAGTTGGAAAAAATATGAAAAACAGGAACTTTCAGTATACTACTACTCCCAATGACAAAAATCTAGTCAAATAAGTTTTCTATATTTGAAGGTCGTGCTAATCTTGATTTTTCCAAAAACAACTTGGTACCTCTAGGCACTAGTTCACTTAATCATACTTAAGAGAGGTTAAAGGTAATCTGTCAATCCAACATTATTTTGGTCCATCAAAGGATTTTCGATAACAACTTGATACCTCTAGGCACTAGTTTTCTATAATTGAAGTGAGTGCTAATCTTGATTTTTCCATAACAACTTGATACGTCTAGGCACTAGTTCACTTAATCATACTTAAGAGAAGTTGTAATCTGTCAATCCAACATTATTTTGGTCCATCAATGGATTTTCGATAACCACTCAGTGCCTTTCGCTTTCTTATCTATAAAGACACAATAGCCATATCTCTTGTAATGCACAATAAAACAAGCCAATACAAAAGAGACACACACATATATATATATAGATGTTTAGTGAACACAGAAAAGCATCCCGTTGCATGATCCGAGCAACTTCAAAATTTTCCTCTACTATCACTCTACGCCTGTCATAAATGAGCCTAAATTTAAGGATAGAAATTGTAGAATATGTAGTGACTGATAATTTGGACTTTTTGCCTACCACTAAAGCCAGCAGTTGAGATTTTTTAGGTTTTGCAGATAGAACTTGCAAGCATCTTTATCATCTTGCGTGTCTGGTTTTGTGGATTTTTTAGGTTCAAGAATTGAATAATTCAGCATCTTTATTTAGGCCCTCTATGATATGTGCTTGCGCTGTGGAGCACAATCAGCTCATAACCTTTTCGTACCTACAAATTTTGCAAGGATGGCAACAAGGAACAGTAACTTCAGCCCCTCCGACACATTGGTGTTGGAACAAACATGTTATGATGTGTGATCTACCATCAGTCTTCACAATTATGAGTGATGCCTAAAAGCCCCTACTCTGATCCCTACTTTTGTTTGATTAATCTGCCTAACTGCACCTCCGGAATACAATTAAAACCAGGCTTTCCTCACAGATTATAGCATCCTAGAAAGCTTCATTTCCCCTGAAAAGTAAAACTCTGTTCCTTCATGTCATGTTTACTGAGGGCAAACTGCCTCATCAGCATAAATTTGCTGGAAATCTCTAGGAATTCAAATGAAACCCAAAAGCCAAGTCTATAATTCTGTCCCAAGTGCAGCTTTGCTCAGGGCACGTTTAGTTGGTATGGGAAATTGTGTATGCCATAGCTAAGTTCGACGTAGGATCCCCTTACTTTTCCATTAATTGTGCGTTAGTAAAACGCGGCATATGCCGGGAATGAGAATGATGCAAACACGCCAATTGACATCAATTTAATGAAAGACCGAAATGTCACGCGTTCGAGTCATGAAAACAGCCTCTTTGCAAAGAGAGGGTAACGATTCTTACAAGAAACGCTCCCCCACCCTCGCAAAGCAGGGAACCTTGTTGGCTTAGTGTTGCCCTTCTTACTCCTCTAAAATTTGACAATAATTCAAAAAATCCACCAGCTGAAAGTAACAACTAAATCATTCATATTGTTACCGAAAATCTAAAACCATTCATTTAAAATATCTAACAAGATCATAATATGGTGAAAAATTAATGCTTGCCCAGAAATATAGACAAATAAAAAATCAGGGAAAACAAAGAGAGAATGATGGAATTACCGGTCGCTTTGGATCGCGGAGACGATAGGATTATCTGAAGGCGGAAGAAGCTTGGATATCACGGCGGCGTAGAGAAAACCCAGAAAGAAAAGGGAGCCAGATGCGATGAAAACCCATCCCCAAATCAATTTCTGTTGCTGCATTTCCTTCCACTTGTATCCTCCAGACACGTGACTCCAAACGAAACCAACAAAAACGTCGATTCTTTGGGTCTGATTGTATGAGCAGAACAGAAGTACCAAATTAGAGAAGGAAGAGAAGCTATGGTGGTGGACTGTGGCCGCAGGAGGAGGCGGAGGAGGAGGAGAAAGCTTTGTAAAGGCAGTGAAGATTCTGGGGAAGAAGCCGAGTTCACTACACTTTACGGGGTTCTGTTTCTAATATCAGCCCTTTGTTGCATCCAACGGTCATCATTTCTTCTGAGTTTTTCTTATATAAAGAATTTTTTTTTAACAAACAATACTATAGCCTAACATTATATTTGGATGAAGAAATTTAAGATTACTAAAGAATTTTAAAATGAAGGGATTTTATTTTCTAAAATTTGTGAATTTTCTTGTTTGGTTAATCCTAAAAGAACAATGGAATTGAATACCGAATTTGTTATTTTTAAACTCTCAATCATAGAAATTGGGAAAAAAAACACCTATTTACATGGAATTTAAACTTGAGAATTGAAGGTCTCAAATTCCAAGTTTTTTTTCCAAGCGGAAATTCTAAATTTGTATGTTTATAAATCCAAACAAGGGATTTGGTGCATGTCAATTTATAAATTTTGACTTTTATCCAAATTCCAAGTTTATTTCTCTCATCCAAATGTAGTGTAAGCCTTACAACAGGCTTGCCATAATAATGCAGTTCAACTTCATCTTTGGCGAGAATCGAACATAAAACCTCTCACTTACTGGTAAAGAAAAATATACCAGTAGACCGCAATACTAAGTAATTATAAAGATTTCTATTTTATATTTTCGGATCCCCTCAAATTGAGCCAGGTTTCAACTTTTTTTCAGTAACCTTGAAATTTTGAAATTGTATCAATTTTATGTCTTTTGTCTGACATATGAAATTGAAAATTTTGAAAAAAGTCCTATGATATTGAAATTAGACAAAAAGTTGAGAAGGTTAAATGTAGTTTGCCCAAAAAAAAATCGTTCGATGTTTCTGTCTATTGATATGGATCAAATGAAACTCAAGCATTACTTCATTTAGGCAAAGAATTTACAAAATTCCCTCAAAAATGTAATAGAAAAAACAGAGGAAAAATTAAGATGCAATGCAATGAATGATCTGATCGAATTTGCTAGCTTCTGACCACATCACAACTCTTAGAGCTCTTTGTGTTGCTTTAGCAAGAGCAAACTGTAGAGTAACATTTCGACAACAATTAAACATCGTCTCCACTTAATTTCTTTCTGGAATTGATTTCTTTGTTAACAGATCTCCTTGCTGAATCATAGGGATCATATTTTGTACATTTACACGATAATATCACACGGTAAACAAAAGATAACGTCATTTGTAAAGCGATGCAGTACCAAGGGGGCTGAACAGGTTTATCTTCGTATAATTGCTTAAGGGGGCATTCAGATTCTCGTCATCGAGCAGCTGCCTCAGGCAACCTTGTTTTTTTTCCCCGGGCAGCAAGCAATTCATAATCCTGCGTAGTTTAATACATGAAAGTTCAACGGTTTAGGGTACACTACATACAAGCAGAGGAGAGAACACAAATTATAAATGCTTCGCCAAGCATATAAAACTCAATGCTAAAAGGATTGGAAGGAAAAGAAGAAAAAAATTGAGGACAGAGAACATAAATGTGAAGGAGAGGGGAGAATTTTACTCCAGAAATTAAAAGAAAGAAGAAACCTAAAGAGCTTTTTTTGTTTTCTTTTTTTAGGTTTTAGCTTTATGCATTCTCTTTTATTTCTCTATCACCTCTCTCGTTGTCATCTCTTTACATTCATGAAAACAGCAGTTTAAACTCATTCCCCAGAATTTCGCCCGCTTAAGAGATTTTCTTTGAGCATCACAAGAATTATGTTATGGTAATTATAAACACAGAAAACTCAAGTCACTACCAAATACTTCCATTACTAAATAATCAAAAAAAAAAAGTAGGAAGACTTTTGTAAAATGAAGCTGCCAAAAAATGAAGGCACCAGTGATGCACAATGGACCTTTCTGTTTTTTCCACGGACCATTTTTGTAAGAAATCAGTTTAAGTAGATTCCGGAATAGATGAACAAAAGATGTTGATCATACCACATAAATTCCAAAATCATGACGGAAATTACCTGTACAATCGCCTGAGCACAAAGTTTCCCTGATAGAACCGCTCCTTCCATTGAGGCTAAATACTTTTGTTTTGTGTAATCACCAGCTAAATAGAAACCCTCTAGGGGAGATCTCTGCAAGGGACGGCAAGGTTCACAACCTGGTACAGTCTTGTAAACAGACCTGGGATATCAACGAGTCATAATTCAGTTAAAACACTAATATCCATAACCAAGTCATCCACAGGCACGTCAGGCAGTGGTTGTATGGTCAAGCCACCCACACCACCCACACCCAACCCCCCCCCCCCCCGGCGCCCGCCCGCCTGCCTCTCTCTCCTCCTCTCTCCCTCTCTTCCTAGAGCATAGTCAACTGCTTATGAATAGACAATGGAACCCCTTAGGAAGGGTAGGACCACTGAATCCAAAAAATTACAAGTAAATCAAAATCCAAGTCTTCCAAGGAATTTGTTGCCACGAAGTTTTTGTATGAAAATTAGTTGCTCGAAATTCCCATATTATATTGACAATTTAGATAGGTGGCTATTAGACAATATTTTAATATTTCTATAAAACAAGTTCATGTGTATGAAAGAGAATCCCTGCCATTTATCATTTATTTTCCATTGCATATTGCGACATGATTTGTCAGATAATATTTGAAACTTTTGGCTTTAAAGACAGACCTTGGTGTTTTCACAACATGGTACTTCAAAATCTTTGCTTTGCTTTGATCTGCAGCTATTTCGTCAGGAAAGAGTTTTGCAAGTTCGTTGAGGGTAGCATCAATAATTTCTGAATCACTACATGAAATCCATTCTTCTGCCGGTGCAAAAACCAACTCCAGCATAGATTGGTTTGGATTGTAATATTCCTGCCATGATTTACAGTGAATCATGCCCCAATCTAAAGTAAACTAAAATGCAAATAAAATCAAAAGGACTTGAAATGAGTTAATGCTTTATACAGGAAATATAAGGAAAATTGGTACAATATACGTTAATATGTTGACATCAAGAATTAATTTAATAATCGTTTAGTTTTTCTAAACTAAGAAATATATGGTTATATCCTCAAAAAAGAAATACATGGTTACAATATTACATCAATGGTAGTTAGAAGTTAGAAAGATAAACCAACAAATATCTACTGTTTCTTAATAATAAGTAATAAATAACAGATGTTACCTTACATGTTACGGACATGTCAGCATACACACTTAAAAGAGGACTTCTGCATTGGGGAGAAAAAAGACACGTCAGAAACCATACTGGGACAACAAAATAGTTAAAAGGCAGCTCTCACAAGTCATAGGCAACCAAAAGAACCCATCACACATGTTTTAATACCTCATACACCGAACAGGCTGTAATTTTCGCATTTCTTTTTACTGAAAATATTATATAAACAAACTTTTTATAACTTTGAATGTTTAGGCCTGAATGGTATGTCTTAGCATTTTGTGCAACCCTTAGATTTGGGGACCAAACCAACGCATATTATCCAAACGATCCCAACTTTGTTATTGACGATATACCTCCATTGTGGACTCAAAGATGATAAATTCTATCACCAAAAGAGAACAAACTTTTTCTAATGGTTAGGCGTGTGTGGCATGTCTGAGCATCTACACACACAGACACGTATACATATGTGTCATATACTATCAGTAATTGAATATGACTGGGCTAGTCAGAAGGTAAAGCTGAAAGCAACAAGCATCAAAGAACCATGAGATACACCCTGAAAGTAAGAGTTAGAGTAAAATCTATGCTAAACAAAACAACTACGTATGAGCAAGACCTGCTAAAAAGTAGGTGATCATATGTGTTCTTCAGCTTTCTATCAAACCTGCAATTAAAGAAAATCCATAGCATAAGATTATAACATATTACTAAAATTTTGCTTCAGTGCAACAAAGAGAAACTTCAGACTGAAATGAAAAAACAGAGAGAAACTGAGTAAAGTAACAGTTAATAGTAGGTTCAACATTACACCTCAAAATCACATTTTTGGGCCATCTAAGCAATGGAACTTAAAAGGTATGGTTTCCTTTTATGATGACTGGTGAAGAGAACTAAAGTGAGAGCCCAAAGAGATTAAAAAAAAGTACCCATGGCAGTCCCAATCTCTAGGGATAAGGCTTGTATTTAACTTAAAGAAATTGCAATGAACCTATTGAAAAATTCTCTCATTTATTGAAGAATCCCAGTTTAAAGAAGGAAAACCATAAATTGGATCAATTCACAATAGAGACCATCCAGGTTTATTTTCTGATAATGCAAGATTAAGGAATCAAGTGTGTGTATGTGTGAGAAAGAGAGAAAGAGAGAGAGAGCTATTTTTGTTCTTGTTTAATTCAGTTAGTCTCCACTTACCATATGTGAACATTGATAACTGGAACTCCAACTAGTTTCTCCAATTTCTTGAAATATGGCATCTCTTTCCAGTTTTCAGGCAATAGAAGCTTTAAGATATCAACTGTTTAAAAGAAAATCAAACAATCTCAGGGAAACTTCTTGAATATAAATTAAAGACCAAATTATACAATCTTAAATAATAAAAACTGTGCCAAACCTGGAGTGGCAAACACATACGCATCTGCTTCAATCACACTCCCATTATTTAGTACAAAACTCTTTACAGTTCCATCATTATTTAGATCAATTTTCTGTATTCGGGAATTAGTTCGGACTTCACCGCCCAATGACTGGATATGATCAACAATTGGAGCACAGAGTCTCTCAGGGGGACTACCATCCAAGAAAGCCATCTTGGAACCGTGTTTCTCCTATTCATGCGTGCAAATCTACTGGTCAGCAAGTGCTAGGTTGTAACAAAAATTTGTCCAACTAAGTAATACTTTACTGATCATCTATGTACGATAGTGCATACAGAGAAAGAACTAATCCAAAATTAAATACTGAAGTTCCGCAAGGAATGCTACTCTGGATATGTTGCTTCTGATCTGACTTAAGCTCTGAGTAATATACAAGGAAACGAAAAAGACACGATTCTAAATTTGCATTAACGGTGCATATGAAGCCATAACATTATATCATGAACCGGTTTATTTTCCTCCATACCAAGTTTACCAACATTATATGAAGGAAAAAGGAACAAGATTTTTACTAAAATTCAAGTCGGGGTAATTCAGTATACCTGAAGAAATCGGTTCAAAGCAATCAATATGCATTGCATTGAAAGTTCATCAGGGTTAATAAAGTTAAGGGCCTTTGACATAGCTATAAACACCTCAGTAGTTACTCGATCAGGTATGCCCTGTGACAAAAGGATAAATCATAAGTTACTGGTTGTTTTTCCTTGTATAAACCATCTTCATCAAGATAACAGAATTCAATCTGATCAACCAATGATACAAGATCATAAGAAATATTAAACTGGCCTGCAGAGCACCAAAATTCTATTCCAATATGCATATTAAATACTATTTTTTTGGCTGCTAGTTCTTCCAATCAATTAATTAAACATAAGTTGTTAAATCACTAAGACAAGCACAGTATTGTGTCAAAATCTCTGAGATTTTTTTCTCACTTCTATAAGTATCTCTTGCTCTCTCACTGGACATGTAATTTGTGGATTTCATTTATAATTAATTATGAGTACGTATAAGCTTAAGCCTATTTTTTGTTCAAAGAGAAAAACGGTTCAATTTTCTTAGTTTATTTCAAGATTTCAAGAAGTTTTTCAAAACTCCTACTTCTTCTCCCATTCACGAGGCTAGCATTGCCTCATTCACATCTTGACCATTATGAAACAAAAGCTGTAAATGGACAACCAGATACTAGTGCCTACATAATTTCACCCATCCATAGACTAATAATTTACAAGTTTAGCAGATCTCATTTTCATAATTTCATTGTCTATGTCCTAGTACCAGGAATGTTGACCAGATTAATATTCTCAGCATACTGTACTGAGATCAACAAACCTTGGAACAGTTCAATTTTGTGAAACTGAAGGACCAAGAAGCAGGTTTGTCTAAGCACAATCCTCTTATGTTAACTCTTTAACCTTCAACTCATTATGAGATGAGTTCATGGCACACAAGCTAGCCTAGTATCACAAACACGTGACTTGCTCAATAAAACATGCGAAAAGAACATGATCAAATATTTTAGAGTACCTGTTTCCTCATCCAGTCTTTTACGCTCAAGCCATCTTGGGCTTCAACATAAGCCTGCCCACCAAGGATTGCTGGCAGTAGTCCAATTGCAAACTTGATTTTCTCTGGCCAAGTCAGCATCTCATTGTTCTTCAATATGGCCCATATTCCTGCCAGCCGCAATAACAAGAAGATCAAAAAAAGTAACAATAGACAGTGACATGGAACACAGATGTAGATCATGAAGCACCGGTTGTCTCCAAGAATTTTGAATCGAACTTTTAAAATTGTCTTTTAGAATGTGAGTAAAGACATATTTGTATGAATATTTGCAGGGTGCCCTGAAGCTATAGTGAGGAATTACTATTATTTCATTCAAGTTTTGGTCTTTAGGTCACAGTTAATAACAAAGGGTTGGCAGTGCAAGCATTGGTTGTCAAATATAGATAGTCAGACAATTGGATAGACTAGGTATTGCAGTACTTCCATCTATGAAATCTTTTGTAATGCGTGTATAAAGCAAGGTACCTTCCCAGGAACAGAAATAATTTTCTGCATTTGTAAACAAACTACTTTCAATCTTCAAGAGGTGACTAATATCTTACCATTTATGGGTGCTGGCAGAACTTCTAGGAAATCAAACCGACTGAACTCCCCTGGCTTGTTTGGCATTGCAAATATCATAGAATGTTCCTTCCACTGCAATCGATCATTAATACCAAGCTCTCCAAACAGGTTCTGAATATTTGGATATGCTCCAACTTGCCAACACAAACAAAAAGAATTATATCATAAGACATTAAATCCACAGTGCAACTGTCTATGTAAAAGCACTAGACGACAGTAGTATACTTTTAAGAGCATTCCTAAAGCAAAGAAATAGAACCAGTTTCATTAAGCAACGTGTAAATAATGTACATTCACCTTGGACAGAAGATGACAATGAAAACAGATGTTGGAAATCCTGGGGTCTGAACCCCTACGGACGTTAGGTACAGCTACGGAGCTACCTTAAATTTTCTGATTTTGTAAATACTGTTTTAAAACCCTATCAAATACAGGGTCCCGTTCTCTTGGTCAACAGGTGACCAAGGATTCCCTTCAATTTGATATCAAGGGTTGAGATTAAAAGACAAGCACATCCATTTATTTTCCACCCTTCATATCAAATCCAAGGGTGAGTGACCATACATTTCTTAGTCACCTCGTGACCAAGAGAACATTCCTAATCAAATATAATCCTCAACATTTTGTTTCATTAACATATAGAAATGTCCACCCAGAATTAGTTTTATCCCCCCCCCCCTCTGTCGCAGCTTGCTTGTTAGCTAAAATATTGTAGTGATATATAATATTATAAATTTATACAACGGCGAATTCTTCTCCTTGGTTTCGTGAACATCTCAATCTGACTTTCACTTTATCTTTTCAGAGAAGATAATCACTTGCCAGCGTAATTACCTGACAGTGTAATTTGCTCATCATTCAATACTTCTAAAGAGGGATTTTATTTTATTTTCTATATATAGAACATAAATAGTGGACTCCATGTACCCTGGCACACTCTGAACTTTGAACCAAACACTGGAAGGAGAATAATGCAAGCTACTAACTACTAGGAATCTCATTCCCAGATTTGTTACACAGTTACACTCTATCATCCTCTCCTATACCAGCCACCCAAATGTAGCATGAAGAATCTATTTGGAAAAAGACTTCTCTATAAGTCTTAAAAAGCATTTTCGTGTAAGTAAAAAAGAATAATTAAACTCACAGAATATATGGAGGCCTGTTTCGTACCAGTCCCCATCACTATCTTTCCATGCTGCCACCTGTAGAAAAAATGGAGATTTAAATAAGCAAAAAAAAAAAAAAAAAAAAACAAAATAATCAGATTTCAGGCTTATCGAGTTAGAATGTTGATATAATTGGACAATGACCCATCTAAATGGCTGCTATTGTTAACAGCTAAATAAATAGCAGGGCACCCTTACACATTTAGGACCTGTGAGACAACACATCCCCCATCCCGACACACACACCACCACCAAGACATAAAAGTGCCTGATCAAAAGCACTCAACTCTATAATTCCCAACCCACCATCCTTCATCATAAGAAAATATGTCCTAATCAATAATGGTACTGAAAATCAGCATTCAAACAAACTAAAAAGAAAATCCATTCTGTCTTTCTTGACTAAACTATTGGGCAATGGTTTGGGAAAAAAACAAGCACAAGACATAAGTCCGAAGACAAGAAAGCACAATTATACGAGTTGTATCATAACCAAAGAAAACATAGAGCTTCATATTCATGACGTAAGACTGAAGCTTCTACTTTTGCACTTTGTCAATTTTTTTTTATGATTTTTGAGCAATTCCTAATTTAATCCTAAGTAAATAAATACTAAGGGATATGAATACCTAAACCCGAGGATGATTTTTGAGCAATTCCTATTTCAATCCTAAGTAAATAAAGTTCCTTAAGCATGTAAAACAATACTTCCCTTGTAGTCCCACTAAATTGATTATGTCTCTGTTCCTTATGTTTCCTTTGATAATTTTTTAATAAGAGATTCCAAATTATTAGCTATGAAACATGTAAGTTATAACATTTTCAAGCTAACAGCAATCTGGTTTCATAAAAGGATAAAGTTAGAGAAGCTGAAAAACCTTTCCGCCTAAAACATCTCTGGCTTCTAGTAGTATAGGTTGATGACCCGCATCCGCCAAATATTTTGCAGTTGCCAGACCAGCCAAACCTGCAAAAACACATAGAAAATAAATATTAATCCCTTAATAAAAGAGAAAATACTATATTTCGTATACATACAGGATTCCTATGAGACAAATTATAAACAGAAGAATAAAACCCAATTCAGTTCTAAGCAATTTAAGAATTGATTTTCCAAAAAATATAAAATCAGATTGAATTAATCACCTGCACCAGCAATCACAACTTTTAACGGCTTGGTTGGACGAGGAGAGGCTCGGAAAGTGGAAGAGAAGTACGCAGCTTCTAAGAAATTAGCAGTACTGTCAAGGTCTGGTCTTGGATAATCAACGCAAACGACCTGTGCGATTACAATCACACACAAATAACTTGACCACCCTTTTAACAATTCAACAATTTAGCAACAAGAACACAAAAAAATTACAGAAAACAAACCTTCAAAGGGCAAACACCATTCCTGGGCCTTCTATAAACAGCTTGTGGGCTTGAAAATCTCCAGCTCTGAGCCATAAATTCACTGCCTTTGAAAGAAAAGGCATCGCATCGGGGACTGTTTCGTTGCTTCTGAGTGTTTACGATGGTAGCTTGGCAGCTCAAGTTAGCAGCGGAGACACAAGCCCACTGCGCCATCTTATCAAACAGGTTGCGCGCAGATCAAGAGTCTCAGCCCCCGCGACGAAATGGAGCTTTTTTTGAGCTCCAAATTTGGGTGGGGGAGAGGAGGAAAGCTGTGCGAGTGCGATGAGTGATGAAATGGTGAGTGGAAGTAAAGCTGAACACATGAGCTTGTTGGCTGAGTTTTCCGTGTCATCTTTGTCCTGTTGCAAAAGTACGGGCTGGGAATCTGCCAAAATTGGCATTTTGAGTTTGTGGGTTAGGCCAGCCATGAGAATATTCTACTAACAGTGTTTAACCGTTGAAAACGCATTTTATAATGACTGAAAGCGTTTTAAAGATGAAAAAAAATTGTTTTGAAAAGAACTTGAAGCGCTTCTTACAAGAAGCATTAGTTAACACACATTGTTGAACAATTCAATCTAATACGTTAAGGGTTAGTTTGGTACTGTTGTGGTTTTGAGAAAATTAATTTTGTTGTCTTGTAAGAATAATTAATTGTGAAATTAAACAATTAGGTGTGTTGGTAAATTGCATTTCTAAAATTACTTTGAGTAAAAACAAAGGTGTTAAGATGTTTGGTAAATTTTTATATAAAAGTGTTTTTGTTTGTGTGCAACAATTAAAATGGTCTTCATTGTAGAAATTATTTATTTAATATTTATGGATATCGCTTGTGTCCCTTTGTAGGGGATTTTATTATCCTCCTACTTACTGTTAACGAACATTTACTGCCTGAACATCATAATTGGAATTGTTTATTCAGTTTATCATCATCTATATATCATATCAGCAAAAATTATTCAAGCCTAAAAGGTCTTTAAACCTAGTGTATTTACATATTGTGAAATAATTAATTGGGAGAGAATGGAATTAGGTTTTCCAATTTAGGGAAATTGGAAAACAAAACACCACACCCTATACTCCTTGGTGCTAAATTGGAAAACAAAACACCACACCCTATACTCCTTGCTGCACCTGCTGGAGGAAAAGGCCCTAGCAGTTTGTTATCTTCCTGCTTCACCAACCAGAAATTCATTTGAGTGGATAATAGTAGAGAGCTAATACATGGAAACCTTAACAACGACTTCATCCTCATAAATCTGAAAGGTTGAAATTCTAAACTTAATTTAAGTTTATGCATGTGTTCTTATTTTATATAAACACAAACACGTCGATGAACTTAGATCACGTGGATCAATTTAATAAAATTAACTGGAATTATTCTGCTAACCATGAATGTAAATTGAATTATATATGATTATGTTACCTTGCCATGCTATATTAAAGTAGCACACAACCCAATAGTGGTATCAGATCTTACATATTTTATTTTGGGAGTTTAAAAAATATTTGTATCACAATCGCAAGTGTATTTTATTTATTTTATTTTTCATGTCTCCTGATGTTAATCAACCAACGTGTTTTTTTAATTAAAATGCATGTTTAGTTCATGATTTCCACATTTGGGTTTTGAATAAATTTCGTGTTATCAAGTTTTTTGGGGGGGGGGGGGGGGGAAGCTATCCCATCATAGGGTCATCACATACTACAAGTTTTTTTTAGAATTTGCAAGGATCTTAGCCCTGGTTTAGTTTTTAAAGATGGTCCACCAAGAGAGATCGCCGATAGTTAGACTTGAATCTAAACCTTGCTCTAGTAAAGAATGATCCTTTAATTTGATCAATCCTCATTGACTATCTTACAGGGTTTTATAAAACATCTTATTAAAAGGATTTGGATTCCATCTGGATTCAAATTATGAGGATTCTAAGGATCCTCATATCTTAGCAATTCATTTTAAAATTAAACACAAATAGTAACTGACAAAAACTAATCGCATGATAATGTATGATGAACGACTAAAATGTGAGAATCCTAGCAAAATGGGTCTGTAGAGGATCCTTTTCCTTATTCAAAACCAAACAACAACTAATAACCATGATTTAACTTATATAACACGTGTCACATTTTTATCAGACAATTTAACGAGATCTTTTTATTATTAATTTAACACATGTCAAGCGTCTATCGCAGATATAATTTACTTTTCAAAACATGTGGCAGACATCAATGAGACGAATGACACCACGAAACTATTCGCACCGTGTACAAGAGCAGGGTAAGTAAAAATGTAAAAAGGGTAAAACTGTGCCCCGCAGATCGAACAGCTATATGAGCCTGTAAACTGGTTTTTGTAAATATGATATAAATATTCAACCATTTTGGATCTGATTCCTCTCTGCAATCTCTACGTTGCTGCATCTTCTCAGCCCAAATTTTGACGCAGGACTAGAAAGAAAGGTCAGTTTCTCTCTCTCTTTCTCTGCTAGTCCTCCAGATCTCAAAACTTGATATTTCTTTTCTGTTTGGTTACCGAGAAAATCGAGAAAATATATTCTCTTTGACGTCTAACGATGCCGGATTTACATGGAATAGAGCTTCTGGTTTTTGTTTGATTTCAGTTTTGTTCTCGTCAACTGATTAGTGCTGAAACTTGTGCTTTGATTGATTAGTGCTTGCTTGTTTTCTCATTCCGAAGCTAAATTCGATAATTGGAGGATTTTTTTTTTCTCCGCTTCAAATTTTGTTGTTGTTGATCTGAAATGGTAGAATTTGATTTGAAATTGAAGAGAATTCTTGTTGTTGCTTATAGAAGTTGAAACCGAGGCTTGGACGTAAATGTAGACGCAGATCAGTAATGTACATTTGATAAATCCACCCGAGTCAATTCCGTTAAAGGCTAGAATTTCAGATCTGATTTGTTCTGTTTAGAGCAAATTCGGAAATTGATTCTCTCTTTTCACACATTTCAAAGTATAGATTTGGTTGATCAAATGTATTTGGTTTCCGTTTTCTCGCAAGTTAAAATTGACTGTCTAATAATCCTGTCCATGAATGGAGGCAGCAAGATCCTGAATATACGTGACAGAAGAGGGGTTTTTGTGAGTCTGTGCACGGCATGATTTTTAATTTTGATTGTACTTAACATGGAAACAGGTGTATATGAAGTAGAAAAGTGATCTTGTTCGCTATAATAAACTTTTGTATGAGTCCTTCTGGTTCTCTATGAAGACAAATACATAGAGTGCCAGAGTTGTTGGGTAGTATGTATATCTAAATGACATATTGATAAACTCAGTGATTGCATTTTCTGCAATTAAAGCATGGAGTTCAGTTGTTGAGATAAATATTTTGTATTATTATAAGGCATTGTCCTTATGTACCTAGACAAACAGCCCAGTTATTTTATATATATATATATATATATATATATATTTGGACTCTACTGAGATGTGTACGAATTTCTTGGTTTTCGGACTTTAGAAACCTAATTTCGTCTTTGATTTTATTAACTTCACGTTGGAGATCTTTTATTGTGACTTCTTTCTTAGTCTTATTGACCTTTCTAAGGTTGTGCTAAGAGAGATTTTTGGAGTTGGTTGAGGTTGGCTAGTGCCAGATTCATCAGAAGAAACTATTTCTTTAGCTTCTTAAGATAGAAAGATTGAAGCATATTGGACAAGGAGTCGTAGATGTTGTCAATACATTGCTTTTCACAATTATAGAACATTTCATAGGAACATCTAGTAATGTCACTTCCAGGATCCATGATCAAATCAGCAATCTGAGATGTCCAACTCTAAGCGACTTTAGATGGTAGAAAGATGTGTTCATTGTCTAGAGTCGTGCTCAGAGAAGACAGTAATCAACCTTTTTGAAAAGAAAAATTTATAAATGGATTACCAAACCCTTTTGCACACAAAATCAGAAGTGTCTTAGTTAACGAAGAAGGTATCATACCATATCATACCCTTACTTATGGAAATATAATTAATATTATCTAGAAGGAAGGCTTGAAAATGTGTATCGATATGAAGATTTCAAAATAGGTTAACAAAGACAAATCCATAGCCAAGTATGAGCTAGGAACATTATGTGAACAATACGGATTATCTCCTATTGCTCCCTCCAACAAAAGAAAAAATCTCAAGTTTATCACAAGTACTCCAACAAGTACGTCAGTTCATCTATCACCCAACAAGAGTTAATTAATGATTTAATTAACATCAAGTTAAAGTCAGCCGAAACAACCTCCCAAGTCACACACCTAATATACCAACCCCAAGATCAAGGAGAACAAACTTTTCTTACAGAATCTGATTTTGACGCAGGTCAGATTAATCATCAACTTTTAGTTTTAAACAAACCCTTTAAACCAAATAGAAAAAGGCTCAATGCTGATATTGAAGCGGAAGAAAATATTCCACGAAGGAATGTTTTCAGAAATAAATATACTCAAGAAGAAAAATTAGAAATTCATAACAAATGGAAAATTTTTATGGAAACACACATATTTGAAGCATTTTTCTTCGATTATGTTAAAAAGTATTACGAGTCTGAAAAGAAATTAGAAGTAATAACCAAAGAAAATTGGCTTAAAGAAGACAAAACTATTGTCTCCTCTAGTAATCCTCCACAAGAAACAATTCTCATTTCAACTGCAAATACGCAAATCCCAACAACTCCTTTTAAGCTTCCTAAGGAAGATGTAGGAGTTAAACCTATTATTGAACAAAACAATTTTACCAATCAAAGTCTCCACACCATTGGTAAACAACTTGATAAAATTGAAACTAAAATTGACAAACTTTCTCAACCAAAGTCGTTAACCAGGGAAAAACCCCTATTTAATTTTCTAGAATCCTCTTCAAAGGCAATAGCCTTAAAAACACTCTCCACAAGTCAAAAAATTGACCAAATGTTAACAGAACTAAAACAAGAAAAGACAGTCTATGTCTTAAAATATCCTTCTCAATCAGAAGTATCTTCATCCTCTTCTGAATTAGTTGATGATTCGGATTCCATTCGAAAAGTTGAACAAACTTTTCAAAATCTTGAATTAAAAAGGATTACTAATAAAAGAGTCAACCCAACGCTCTTACCAAGAATTGGTATCCCAGTCTAACACCTCCGGATATCCAGTTTGACGAAAGAAATATTCAAAACCAATTCTCAGTCTTTTCTGATAAACTCTATGAATAGAATATAGATTGTTTGT